ATGGTCTCCTTGGGGACCATCATCCCTTCCCTGGATTCTGGAGACTGGTACGCCGCCCTCGACATGAAGGACGCATATTTTCATATAGCAATCTATCCCCCACACAGGCGCTTCCTTCGATTTGTAGTAAACAACGTGCACTACCAATTTACCGTCCTTCCCTTCGGCTTGTCCACGGCTCCGAGAGTGTTCACCAAATGTCTGGCTGTCGTGGCAGTGTACCTTCATTGACAAAGGATACAGGTGTTCCCGTATCTAGACGACTGGCTGGTGCGCGGCCACACCAGGGAGCAAGTTCAAGCTCACGTCCAGATAACACTACAAACATTCCCTGAGTTAGGCATCTTACTCAACAAAGAAAAGTCCACTCTAGAGCCAACCCAGAGAATAGAGTTTATCGGGGCAGTCTTAGACTCCAGACTCGCCCGAGCTCTTCTGCCAGACACTCTGTTTCACACCATCACAAACATCATCCACGGACTCCAGGTCTTCCCGATCACCACGATAAGGACATGTTGGGACACATGGCCTCTTGCACTTACGTAACCAGGCATGCCAGACTTCGGCTTCGCCCACTTCAGGCCTGGGTATCATCGGTGTGCCGTCCTTATCGGGACAACTTGAACATGGTGGTCACGGTTCCGAACTCTGTCTTGACCTCTCTCACCTGGTGGCTGGACCACAAGGCGGTTTGCACAGGAGTGCCGTTTCACGCCCTACAACCCTCCCTGTACCTGGTCATGGATGCTTCATCTCTAGGTGGGGCGCTCACCTCAGGGAGCACCATACACAGGGCCTGTGGACCGCATCCCGACTAGCTCTGCACATCAGTGTTCGAGAGCTGATGGCGGTGCACTTAGCCTGTCAGGCATTTCTCGGTCTCCTACATGGCTGTTGCGTCAGTCCTCACAGACAGCACCACGGCAATGTTCTATATCAACAAGCAAGGAGGAGCCCGGTCGCCTCTCCTATGCCAAGAGGCCATTCACCTGTGGGAGTTCTGCATTGCCCACTCGATACATCTCATGGCATCGTTCCTCCCTGGAGTCCAGAACACTCTAGCGGACCGTCTCAGCAGATCCTTCCAGACGCACAAGTGATCGATTCGTCTGGATATCATCCATTCCATCTTCCAGAGGTGGGGATTTCCCCAGGTCAACCTGTTCGCCTCACGCGCCAACAGGAAGTCCCACGTGTTCTGCTCCCTCCAAGGGCAATCTCCGGGCTCCCTGTCAGACACTTTCTTGCTATCGTGGAAAGACCAGCTGTTCTACGCTTTCCCTCCATTTCCACTGGTCCACAGGGTACTGCTCAAGCTACGCAGAGACAAGACAGGTATGATTCTAGTCGCTCCAGCTTGGCCAAGACAGCATTGGCACACCACGCTTCTGGAGCTATCGGTACAGACTCCGATCACGCTTCCATTGTGCCTGGACTTGATCTCTCAGGACCACGGCTGACTCTGTCACCCCGACCTGCAATCGCTCCACCTTACAGCGTGGATGCTCCATGGCTGAATCAGACAGAGCTATGATGCTCATATCCCATGCAACAGATTCTGCTGGGAAGTAGGAAACCCTCTACACGGACCACTTACTTAGCCAAGTGGAAGTGTTTCTCCTGTTGGTGCGAACAGCGGGCCACGCCCCCCTTGCAGGCGTCAATTCCACTTATACTTGAATATCTCCTATCCCTAAAACAGCAGGGCTTGGCGATATCTTTGGTCAGGGTACACCTGGCTGCTATATTGGCGTTCCACCCAGGAGAACACGCTTCCTCGGTCTTCTCTAACCCGATGGTCGTCAGATTCCTCAAGGGCTTAGACGCTCTATACCCACAGCAATGTCAACCGGTTCCGGCGTGGGATCTTAACCTGGTTCGCTCCAAGCTCACAGGGCCCCCGTTCGAGCCATTGGCTACCTGCTCACTCCTTTACCTATCTTGGAAGACAGCCTTCCTTGTAGCCATCACTTCAGCAAGGCGTGTTTCTGAAATCAGGGCGCTCACATCTGAGCCTCCATACACAGTCTTCCATAAAGCCAAGGTGCAGCTTCGCTCCCACCCTGCCTTTCTTCCCAAGGTGGTATCAGCTTTTCATGTGAACCAGGATATATTTCTCCCGGTCTTCCATCCTAAGCCGCTCGCCACCCGTCAAGGCCAGCGTATGCACTCCTTGGATGTACGCAGGGCCCTTGCTTTCTATATTGAGCATACGAAGCCGTTTAGGAAGACGACTCAACTCTTCGTTGCAGTGGCCAACCGGATGAAAGGCTTACCGGTCTCCTCGCAGCGTCTCTCCTCTTGGATCACGTCCTGCATTCGTGCTTGCTACGACCTGGCCGGTGCCCCGACGCCGCACCTCACCGCCCCCTCCACGAGGGCCCAAGCCTCCTCAACTGCCTTCCTGGCTCCCGTCCCGATCCAGGACATTTGTAGAGCGGTGGTTTGGTCATCGGTCCACACCTTCACCGCTCACTATGCACTTGTACAGCAGTCCAGAGACGATGCTGCATTTGGATCAGCGGTTCTGCACTCAGCGATGTCTCACTCCGACCCCACCGCCTAGGTAAGGCTTAGTAGTCACCTAATTGGAATCGATATGAGCAAGCACTCGAAGAAGAAAAAACGGTTACTCACCTTTGTAACTGTTGTTCTTCGAGATGTGTTGCTCATATCCATTCCAAACCCGCCCCCCCCTTCCCCACTGTCGGAGTAGCCGGCAAGAAGGAACTGAGGGGGCGCTGGGTCGGCTGGGGTATATATCCAGCGCCACGAAGGCGCCACTCCAGGGGGCTCCACAGCCGACCCACCAGGTGTTGCTAGGGTAGAAAATTCTCCGATGATCGTGCACGCGGCGTGCGCACACCTAATTGGAATGGATATGAGCAACACATCTCAAAGAACAACAGTTACAAAGGTGAGTAACCGTTTTCTTTTTCAGTAACTGCATCACATCTTTGACTAATGTGCAATTTGTGATCCACCAGAACACCCAAATCCTTTTCAGGAGTACTACTGCCTAGCCAGTTATTCCCCATTTTGTAATTGTGCATTTGATTTTTTCTTTGATTGTAGCGCTTTGCACGTCTTTACTGAATGTCATCTTGATTTTCAGACCAATTCTCCAAATTGTCGAGGTCATTTTGAACCCTTATTCTGCCCTCCAAAGTGCTAGCAACCCCTCCCAGCTTGGTGTTATCCACATGTTTAATAAGTATACTCTCCACTCCGTTATCCAAGTCAATAATGAAAATATTGAGTAGTACCAGACCCATGACAGACCCCTGCAGCATCCTATTACATACATCCTCCCAGTTTAGCAGCAAACCATTGACAGCTACTCTTTGAGTAAGGTCTTTGAAATTCTCTATAAAATCATAAGAACTGCCAACACTGACTGAGTTTCAACGTGCATCTAGGAGCAGGGATCCACCATCCTTCCCCCCTGTATGGAACGAACAGGGGGATTTACTTCTTAAACTAGAGAATGTCTCAAGAACCACACAGATCTCAGGATATCAGCAAAAGCCCAGTGCCTTGGGTATCTGACTGGTGAGGAGGAGAGAGAATGCCATGAATAGTGGCTACTCTCCAGCTGCACTTCTTTCGGCACCTATCCTCTAAATATCTGTGGAGCCCTCACACCATAGAGCTATAGCAGAGAAGCTTCTCACACTGAAGAGTTGGTATTCTTTCTCCTCATCAGGTTACACCGTAATCAAGCTCCCGTCTGCTTGTATTAGTGGAGGGGAGAATTTGGCCCTGAAAAAGTGGAGAAATAAGATCCAATCTCCTTAGTCACTACCAAAGGTTGAGATTTTTAAAACTGACACAGGGACTTAGCCACACCGCTCTTAGTAATTTAATTGGGAGGTGTGTGCTTAAATGGCTGAGTCAGCTTTGAAAACTCAATGTCTTCAGAGAGCAGAACTCAAATGTTTTTCATCTGCAGTAGTGGAAGTTTTTTCAGTCACCTAAATTGACCTTTCTGCAGTCACAGTCTGATTAAAATCATCCATAACAAGAAGATAATTTTTTTATTCCTTTCTTTATTTGGACAATTTATATACATATGTACAAAACACCTATGCCTACTTTTTTTTTTTTACAAGTTCATGTGATTTACAAAACAGGACAGCGAAATAACTTATAAAGGATACGAATACTGTACAAAAATAAAACTGATTAAATTGTTGTAAAGGTTGGTATTTACAGTGTACAGATCATTAATCTGTAGTAAAACAGCATTTTGAAGAACATGTCCAGTCTGGTGTGTACTGAGCAAAGTCCATCTGCAAACTGAAAATAGAATTGTTTATGTAAGTCATCAAAAATTGTTCACAAAAGTAGTATGTTGTATAGCTATACCTTTAAAGCCTTGGCTTCTCTATGCAATAGTGAAGGGCTTTCTTAACTGAGGAGAGGAGCTGTCCTAACTTCAGCACTATTAAGTATTTCCCGAATAGTATGACAAGTACATATAGTATTAGAGAACCTGATTTTTCTTTCTTTTCCAACACTTGCAACAGTCTCTTACAGAAATTCAGTTTAAAATACAAATGACTATCCTGCAATTTGTTTTGTATGTTAAATCCATTGTCTGCTTTCACTCAAAAAACAAAACAAAACCCAAAAAACAAAAACAAAAAATCCCCAAAACTTTCTCAACGTATTTTGTTAGTGGATAATGAACCATGTTAATCCCATCAGGACTGGACTGAGATAGAGTATGTATTAAAGCAAATTAGAATGTTGGTTTCTGTTTGGGAATTTTTATAGAGAGGATCTTCTCACAAATATAGACATGAGTTTATACATTCAATTTTTGTACCTGTGAGAGTACCTTACTTTTTTTTATAACATGAAAAACAATTTAGTGACATTTGTTTAAATGAACATTCTGCCCCAAATGTTCAAGCTTGGTTGCCTATAGCTTGACACCTATATCCATATTTAAGCTACTACTAATAGTTAAAATGGCCTGATTTTTGTGTTTTTTGTTTTTAATTTTTTAGGAGGTACTGATTACCTACAGCTCCCAACATAGTCAGTAGGAGGGAAGGACACTCAGTATCTCACATGATCAGTCCCTAATTTGCTAAGTACTGCACTTGTCCCACATAATGGCAACAGTACACACAGAACAGCTGCTGGATTGTAGAACTGACTCTAAACTCTGTTCTTAAGTGTTTTTTTAATAGAGAAGGGGAGGACGAGTGTAAAAATATTACTTTGTGAGTTGCTGGGCTACCACATGGTCCTGACCCCAAGGCAGCAATTACAGTACTGGTAAGCAGAATACATTTTTTACACTGGGTCAATAGATATAGCCAGGCTACCTATTTTATTAGGAAGAACAAATGTCCCTACAACTTATTTTGGACACCAGAAATTAATGCTTGTTTCTTAAAATAACTGTTTCAAAAAGCTGAAACGGAGGTAGAAAGTGTGCTTGGTTTCCTGATGTCTTCACTGAAGAAAACGCCTCCCTTTTTATTCCACAGACTGCTCAATATCCCTAATGCCTTAAAAGCAGTTCTCTTCACATAGACAGAATTTCTAATGAACTACACAAGTAAAAATGCTATAGACAAACTGATCTCTAAAGCTGGAAGCCAGGTATAAGTGTAGAAGAAAATATTCTACTTCTGAGTAGATTTTTTTTATTTCTAGGAAGCAAGCTTTTTTTATCAGGTGAAACAATAAGAAGAGAACTGTAGCTGCAGGTGTACTAACAAGATTTTATATACAAAGTTTTACAAGAGGACCCAAATAACATCCCCAGTGTAACACCACTGACTTCAATGTGGTTAATTCAGAGATGAATTTGGCCTGGATGTCTGTAATAGGGCTGCACCTCACCTTCCTTCTTTTGAAGGAGGGGCAAAAACAAAAGACCAGAAGAATGTTTCTGGAAAGAAAAGTGTGTAAACATAATTCTCCACTATACAAGTGGATGAAGAGGGAAAAATCCTTAATACATTTTTTTTTAAAGTTCATGCTTTTAACTTAACAAAGATGAAAACTCAGATAATGTAAATTATCTTAAGTTTTCCTTCAATGCTGTCTTAACTCCTCTTAAAAAGCAAATCATAGCTTTTAAATAAATGTAATATTGCCATTATAATAAAATATGTTGTATATGACACACAAGTACTATACAAGGTATCTAGGAGTGAGGCTCATGTCATAAGGAATAATATGACATGCCTTCTTTATTGTAGTTCTAATTATCTCATGATTTCCCCCTCAACTCTATACAACAGCTATGAAAAGATAAAGGAGACTTAGCACTCTATGCTAATGGAAACAGCTCTTAAAGAAAGATCTAGTCTCTCCATAGCACACACAACTCCCACTGGAATTTATAGGAGTTGGACAAGTGGATGAAGAGAATAAATCTTTAAGGCAAGTGTATGAAGAGAATTTTTTTTTTAAAAAGCAGCAGTTTCTAAACATGGTAGTTGCTGTTGTGCATCCATTCAAATAAAACAGCAGAATAAAGCAGTTAGTGGCATTTCTATAGTACAGTACGGTATATATTGTCAAATGAAATTATAGGAACAATTCAGAGAAGTATATTTCTCCTGTCATACTCCTACCACATTATTTAGGCTGACTTATATTTTTTTTTCTGGTAACTGAATAATAGAGCTAAATATACATGATATCAGAAAAAGTCAGAGTTTTGCCTTTTTTTTTTTTTTTTTTGCTTAAAGTATCACCTTAAGTTGTACACAGTTTTATTGGAAAAAAAATTCAAAAGTATAGTTCATACAAAGAAAAATTAGACCCAGTTTTCTTTAGTATAAATTCAACTTACTTTTGTATATCAATCAGGTATTAGTAACACATGTAATGTATTAACAGTCTTTAAATGATGGATCATTCTGAGATAGAAGTGAACCCACTTCTAAAATGTGTGCTATGGAGTTTTACTTGAGAATTATTTAAGTGATTTGGAAAGTGGTTTTACTAAACAAATTTTAAATACAAGCAGCATTACATTGTTCAACAAAACATGTTTATGACACAGCAATCACAAAGACCTTGGAATCACTATTGTGGAGTCACAGGTCAGACCATCCAGTCAGACATATATACACCAGTGTTGATTCTTTAAGTTACAAAAGAAATTAATCATCTACTCTGATCCCCATCTCTGCCCCCAACCTCACTCAGCAGTCACTCGTTTAAGACTGTTATCAGCACGGGGGACAAAATATTTATTTTAAATTTCAGCTACATGTGCTTTAAAAATGCAAGTAGGGAATATTAACTGTACAGTGGCAGACTTCTTGTGCTGATCAGTTATGCCTTTACCAATGTCTTTTTTCCCCCAGTGCAGTCCATCATTCAAAATGAGGTGGAGCTGGACTTTTTTGATCTCTTAATCATGCTTGGATGAAACTCAGTGTGGCGACGGGCATGCTTTGTCAGGTGATCGCTCCTCATGAACCGCTTCTCACAGAGAGGGCACCTGAACTGCTTTTCACCAGTGTGGGTTCTGTAGTGTCGAGTCAGCTCATCTGACCGAGAGAACTTTTTAAGGCAATCGGGCCATGTGCACGGGAATGGTCGCTCACCTGTAGGAAGGTAATGATAAAAACAGAAAGTTTAGAAGGAAAAACAGGAATCTAGAAGATGACAGCAGAGCAATACCAAATACCACAGAGCTTACACAAATCAATAAACATATACACGTGTTGCTTAATGACAATTAAGGTGAGATATTAGGGAATACCTCACCAATTCACAACCTGAAAAGCAGGGGAATCAGAAGCGCTGACTCTGTGGGTACTCCGGGGCTGTAGCACCCACAGGAAAAAAAATAGCACCATCAGCCCCGCTGATCAGCTCCTCCCCTTCCCCCCAGTGCCTCCCACCTGCTTGTGATCCGCTGTTCAGTGTGTAAGAGGTTCTGGGGGGCAGGAGGAGGAGTAGGGGTGGGGCATGCTCAGGAGAGGAGGTGGGAAGGGGTGGAGCAGGAAGAGGCGGGGAACGCCCTGGGAAATCACAAAGTCGACACCAATGAGGGGAATAACAAGCTAAGGGGGAAAGTCTCCTGCATTTCTTACCACTTTCACATAGCCTATAATGCCATAGTAATACCCTGCAATGCTCCATACAGTTTCATGTCTCCCTCCAACAGATACCAAAAACCAGTATATACCCTGACTTCATCAAACTCCAGTGCAAAATCTCAAGTGGCCTCTGAAGCTGTTGTATGAGCAGATGAGCACATCTGACTGCCATACATTCCATACAGTTAAGTTTTTCTGCCTAAACACTGCTGAGGTGACTCTTAAGGCTTTGCATAGAGTACAAGTTTGATGAAAGTGGGGGTACGTATTGCTTGTGGGTATCTGATGGAGGGGGAAATGAAACCTTGTGGAGCACTGCAGTGTGTTATCGACAGCGCTGCAGGCCATGTGAAAGTGGCAAGAAATGCAGGAGATTTTTCCCTTAACTTGAAAAGCGTGAAAATGACAAGGTGTCAGTTGGTGGGGTATGTCCTGAAGCAACTTTATCAGTCACCAAATGAAGCTTTTGTGTATTAATTTCCTAATGTTTTACACAGGTTTCATGTACTTCAGTGAATTGGTCCCCAAGGGAGAGATGCAAATGGTTGAAATGCAAAATATCTGTATTTTGAGGTCATGTTATAATTTACATATTCCAATAGTACAGATTATAGTAAATTATTAATGTGTTATGGGATATCTTCTCTTTGTGTAAATTAAATAAACCAGTTATATTTAAAAAGAAAACTTGAAAGACAGACTGTCACATGCAACCAGACTATCCCCTCACACAGGTCAACAGCAAGGTTTGAACCCTTAACCCTCAAACCAGATCTCTATTGCTAGAGCTACAGGAGTATTTGCTACCCTCAGTTAGGTCAATCACAAGAGGACCTGACACACACTTTCATAAGGGGTTACTAAACTGTTTATCAGACAACAGTAGCATACTGGAGATCAGGAATCCTGGGGTCTATTGTCGGGTCTTGAAAAGAGAGTCTAGGACAGGGGTCGGCAACGTTTGGCACGCAGCTCGCCAGGGTTAGCAGGCGAGAAGCCACAGCCAGCACATTCTGCCCGCGCCGCTTCCCGCCGCCCCCATTGGCCCAGGATGGCGAACAGTGGCCAGTGGGGGCCACGATCGGCTGAACCTGCTACGTCAGCAAGTAAATAAACTGGCCCGGCCCGCCAGGGTGCTTACCCTGGCGAGCCGCGTGCCAAACGTTGCCGACCCCTGGTCTAGGAGTTAAAGATAGGCTAAGCAAAGCACATTCAATCAGAAAGGCTGTGTGGCGAAGGGATACTAATTGAGTCTGCCATTGTTAATTCTGGCTTCTACTTCTGACTGTACCTGCAGTGACCTTGTGCAATGTCTCTGTTAACATATTTTGTAAAATGAGGTGCCAGCTCATACTTGCCTTCTAGAATTGGGGTTCAAGGACTTGACTGATAATCAGGGTGGTGAGATTCATGGGAATATAAACCACATTCAATAGAGGTGACATTTTAATTTATGATATCCTCTTTTCCAGCTCAGGGAGCTTCCCCCTAGGTTAGAGGAGTATTGGGTAGGGATGGCTCGCATTCTCTCTCTCTCTCTCTCTCTCTCTCTCACCTGCAAGTGACCGTGTTACAGCATCACTGCTCATTACAGCAGGTTAGTGTAATGCATTTCTTTTCAGTTATGGAGAAAAGTTTAAAATTATGATGCCGATGAAGGACACTTATGTATAACAGGTACTGTATTAATCATTGCATGAAGAGCAATGTGTGTTGCAAAGCACAGATCCTAGGGCACTTTAGTTTTCTTTCAAAGGTTGTTGGAAAACAGGTGAGACAATCCAGTGTAAAACTTCAGAAAAGGGGATAATTTGAAGCTGATTATTCTCTGTAATAACCCAATTTTAATCAAACTGCCATTAAAAATATAAATAGTTTTAATCTTTATAGTCTACGTTTTGGACTTTTGCCATCTTAATGGGATTCATACTAAACAATGGTTTTAAACTTAAAACTTCTGACTCATTTTTAAACTATGGAGTCAAGATCAGCAACTCCACAATACTACCTTTCATACTCTGGCTTACCTAAAGCACTGTACAATGATGCTAAATACTTGAGGTGAAATCCTAGTGAATCGATGAGAGTTTAACCATTGCCTACAGTGGGGTCAGGATTTCACCTTAGATGCACAGTGACTATGTAAGCAAACAAAGTGCCAATTTGTTTCCACCACTAGTTCATAAACAGCTGTTCAGGAAAGCACTTAAGCATATGCTTAACTTTATTCATATAAATGCTTAAGTGCTGTCCTGAACAGGGTTGCTTTTCTGAATCAGGACCTAAAATCTGCTACTTGTTGGTTTTCTAAATTGAGATGGAGAGTCCTGATTAGAACACTAGTGTTGTGGGATCTTTAATTTTCACCAAGACAGCTGTCAGGGGGGTATCAGCCAGAGTATTTGTATAGGACAACTTGTAGGCATGCAGATCCTGTGGTAATGAGTGCAATATAAAGAGCTCTATAGAACAGAATGACTAGAACTTGGTTTATGTGAGTTGTATCCACAAACTTAAGCTGACTTTCTCTTTCCTTTCTGAAGCATGTCAACAAACACCCCTCAAAAATGCGATGATTATTTTTGAATACACACACTCTTCTGGTACTCCTGTTTCACTAAGCAAAGTCATCTGGAGTTGAGAAAAGAAACCAAAGGGGGGACCCAGGCCCCCAATACAGTTCCAAATCGAGAAAAACAAAGCTGCTCAACTTCCTGGTTCAAGTCAATTCAATTCAACTTCCTAGGCTAAAAAGTTACTGTCCCTTTATTGTCAGATCCAGCAGTATGGACTGATGTGCATCTGGGTGTAGGGAGCAAAACCCATTACCGTAACCCAAAGTGCATTGCTGAATACTTTCAAAAACAAAGATGTCAAGAATGGGCAATAACCATTAGAGGTGCCCTAGGCACCCACAGGCTGCATTCACAGGTATCAAAATCCCTAGAATTAATCAGTGAAGATGGCATGAGAGGAAAGAAGTTAGAGCTGAAGGAATAGCTAGAGGAAGAAAGAGAACCAGGAGAGGAAAGTATCACAAAGGCCCATTGAGGATAAGATGTCAAGGAGAGGATTACTGACAAAGTCAAAAGCAAAGAATTCAGGGAGAATGATGATGGGAGTAGATTCTCTGAGATCTGGCCAGAAAATGGTGGCTTTAGACCAGGGGTACTCAAACTTCATTGTAGTGCGACCTCCTTCTGACAACAAAAATTACAACATGACCCCAGGAGGGGGGGACTGAAGCCTGAGCCCGCCAAAGCTTTGGTCTGGGCAGAGGGGCCAAAGCCGAAGCCCAAGGGGATCTGTAATTTGAGCCCCGTCGCCTAGGGCGGAAGCCCTTGGGCTTTGGCCCAGGGTGGTGGGGCTTACGCTTCATCCCTGGGTCTCAGCAAGTCTAAGCCAGCCCTGGCGACCCTATTAAAATGGGGTTGTGACCCACTTTGGGGTCCCAACCCACAGTTTGAGAACTGCTGCTTTAGATCTTAGTGTCTCTCTGTCATATGTAGATGTCAGAGCTCGATGTCCAGGCTATGTAAGCAGAGGATAGTCTCTGTATCAATGGAGGCTAGGCGTTGTAAACTGCCCTTCTGATGCCTGGTTGGGTACTCTTCCACCACGTGAGTTATTGTCTGCAATGAGGTCCCACAGTCAGAGTGTAGAGAAGAAACCAGGCCAAGTTGTCGCATAGTTGTGGCAACTCTGGACAAGCCAGAGAGGAGTCTGTTGAGGTTGGTCCAAGATGTATAATCATATAGACAAGGAGGAAGGTGCAGTGATGCACTCCTGAATTTACGTAGTGTGTTTGGAAGCATTGGTAGGAAAGAGAACCTATGATGTAGTTTTCAGCACCCTGGTGATGCTGATCTTCTGTGCATGTAGCGCTCTTGTCCAAAAGTGTGTGAGTTGCCATGGCAAAGAGGTGTTGATAGATTAGCAGGGGTGTAAAACCCCCAGTCCCCAGGAGCGGGACTCCTCCTCTGAAGATGAGCAGACCTTTGAATTGGCACAGTGTGTTGTTTCTGGTCTGAGAATGGGGCATCAGCCAGCCAGAGATGTAATAGGCTAGTTTTGTCAGACTTAATAGTCTTTCACTGAAGGAGCTATGTGCGCTAGCATATACAGACTGAAGGTTGGTGTATAATTCAAGCAGTCACCAATAATATGAATGACAAATTCTTCATGTCAACAAGCTGAATGTGGCAACTGCTCCCCCAGAACATGGAGCACTATTCAGCTACACCAAACAGCAGGGACCAAAGAGTCTTCTCCCCAGGAGGCTCCCGACAGTTTTCGTATCAAGGCAGTATGGGAAGAGATCTTCATTTTCAGGAGTCTCAGGTGCGGCCAGTATGTCCAGCTACGGTTGAGTTTTACTCCCAAGTATTGATAACTAGCTAGAATTTCAGAAGCCATCCTGGGACACAGATTGAGAAGAACTGATTGGCAAGACAACTGTTTAAATGGAAAGTGGTTGCCGTTGCCCTGGTTTCATTGAGAATTCATCTCCCCTACTGGAATACGTGGTCAAAATAGCCATGTGTTGGCTGAGCTTCTCTTCAACCCCGTGGAAGTCATTTCTGGGGCCTGCAATACAGATGTAGTCAGCATACACGTACTTCTTGGCCTGTGTTTCAGGAAGGTCATATGCGTATACAGTGAACAAAAGAGAAGCCAATACTGACCCTCTTTAGGAGGCCATTGTGTTGACATGTAGGGTGAATGATTTTCTCCCCAACTTGCAGGATGAAGCTTTGGTTATTGATCATTTCTTGAATGAACTGCACCATCGGCCTACAAGGAATAATTCACAGTAGCTTGGCAGTCGGCCCAGTGTGCCACATGGTGTTGTAGCCTGCTGTCAGATTCATAAGGACTATGCCAACTTTCTTTCCTGACTCAAATGTGTTTTCTGTGTCTCAGAATATCTGCTCTTGGGTGCATCTTGACTCCATTCTGAATGTGAGGCAGTTGAGGGTACCTCGACTACCTCACTAATTCACATCAGGATTAGTCTCTCCAACAGCTTGTAAATAACACACAGCAGAGAATTCAGTCAGCAGCTCTCTGGGTCTGTCAATGGCTCCCCTGGCTTGGGTACAGCTACAGCTTTTGCTCTGCAGCTGGGTCCAATGATTCAAAAGTCAAAATAGCCAGCTTTTGGAAATTGGCCCAAAGTGAGAAAGAAACATTTGGATGTAATCTAGACCAGGAGCCTTGTCAGGATGCAGTTGAGCTATAGCTAGGTCAAGCTCTTGATTGGTAAAAGGAGCCATCAGGTTCATGTCCACATTCAGAGCCTTCCAATCACCATTTTAACTGCACAGCTGAAGGCTCTGCCTCAATTAGAAGTCTTGCCATTGGCCACCAGCTGGGATGTGATGGAGTTTGCTGTGACTGGGTATTCTCTCTTGCCCAGATTAGAATCTCTACTCAGTCTCTTACTAGTTTGCTAGGCTTTGTGACTGGAATGCATGACTTTAGTGAAAGTGGTAAAAGCTGAGTCTAATGGATGAAAACAGTCACTCAGATAATATATTATGAAATTTAGTCTTCTAGCTACACAGCATGCCTTGAGACCTGTCAGACTTTTTTGCCCCACACTGAAAAGGATATGCTAGGACTCTCTATGTTGTTAAACTAGGACTCTTATGTTGCCCATGAGATGGGGACATGACTCTGAACCTATCTTGATTTAGAATTAGCCCCGAAAAAGCCTGGTCCTTGGTCAAGGAAGAAGGATAAAAGGAGTAGCAAAAGTAGTGAGTCACTCTAGAGCACTAGTAGAGAGGGGAGAAAGCCACTTGTTTGAATAATTCTAACTCTTGGAGCTCTGACTACGGTTTTCCAGGTTTCTCTGTTTCCCACTCTACCTTTCCAAGTGCAGTTGAAAGCCTTTTTAAACAACCACTGCCCTGAAAGGAGACATTAATTTAATTTTATAGGTCTGCTGTGCATGCACACACAGGCCATGGTTGCATCTATACTACAGAATGGGGTTGTTGGGAGTTCATAGTGTAGAGCAGGGGTTCTCAACTTTTTTCTTTTTGAGCCCCCCACCCTCCCCAACATGCTATAAAAACTCCACTGCCCACCTGTGCCACAAAAACTGGTTTTCTGTTTATAAAAGCCAGGGTCAGCATTAGAGGGTAGCAAGCAGTGCAATTGCCTGGAGCCCCATGCCACAGGATCCCTCATGAAGCAAGTTGCTCAGGCTTTGGCTTCAGCCCCATGCAGCAGGGCTTCCGCTCTCTGTCCTGGGCACCAGTGAGTCTAACACTGGCCCTGCTTGGTGGACCCCCTGAAATCTGCTTGAGGCCCCCTAGGGGGGTTCCAGACCCCTGGTTGAGAACCACTGGTGTAGAGTGTCCATGTTAGCCATTCTGTTTTGGGTTTAGGTCTCAGGGCCGCCCAGAGGATTCAGGGGGCCCCTTCCATAAAAAAAGTTGCAATACTATATTCTCCTGGGGGCCCCTGCGGGGCCCGGGGCAAATTGCCCCACTTGCCCCCTACCCCTACCCCCGGGCAGTCCTGTTAGGTCTACCCCAGATCCTTGTACAGCACCCTCCTCAAGGGTTTCAGTTGTACTGCCCTCTGAATGCCTATCTCACACCTTCTGGCACAAAGTCCTGAAGCACTGGCTTGCAGGACATTTGGAAATGCATTCTGGGACTCCAAGAGAATTGTGGAAGAAGAGGTCAAAATCCCATCACTCTTTGGGAAGCTCAGCAATAACCAAGGCATGAACTTAAAATGGAAGTCAGGCTGAAATGTCAGAGCTCATTCTTCGCTCAGCAGAAATTTTTCTGCTGGAGCTCCGAAAATAAAACTCACCAAGTATTGCAGGAGAGGCAATATGTGGTGTCCCTACATTGCCTGTGTATACCAAAAATGCCCTAACCACCAGTCGATAGTCACTTTCTCTTTCCTATCCAAGGGAAGCAATTTTCAAATTTCAGGTATATTCTGATGCACAATAGGAACATTTTTGAAGTCTCAAAAAATTTTGTGGGACAGAAAAGTCATTTCCATGCAGGTCTCATGCAGAAGTTAGGATAAGCTTAGTGCATGATACAAGAAAATATTAAAACTTTGAACTCCTGAAGAGCAGATAGAGGTAGGAGAAAGGGGACCATCCTCTTTTCTAGGCTTTCAGTGATTCTGTGAACCTGCAAATCCACTGCTCCCCTTGGCCATGAAGCCATACTTAAAGCCCAGAGAAATGGTGATTAAATAGCTGATTTGACAGAGACTGTGGTAGTGGAGAGTGCATTTAGAAGGCTTTAAACAAGGTGGAGGTGCTTGCTGACGTGCAGCAATAGTGCAATCGGCAACAGTGGACATCGTATCTGCCTGTTGCATTCTGCACAACATTTGTGAAAGCAACAGTGAAGTGTTTAAGAGTCTGTGGAATGAGGAACTTGCAACAATTTATGTACAGGCAGACAAGCAGCACTACCGGAATCTAACACTTGTTAATGTTGGCGGTACTAGGCACGTGAACCAAATGAATCAGAGATGCTTTGTACACATTTTGCCAGGGTAGTGGAAAGAGGGTGTGGTGATAATGTTCATTCTGCCTGTTCAAGCCTGAAGGGTTAACATGTGCTACCCTTAAATATCTTTGTTTCCTTTGTTGATGGTGGGTTTCATTTTATGTATGCACATATCAGTTTGAGTCTGGGTAAAGAATATTATGGCATAATGAAGTTGTGATGTAATGAAGGTAAATTAAAAGTATATTTTATGGATTCTGAACACTGAAATAAATTATGCAAGTTTACTTTATTTAAAACCACAAACATTCAGGCCAGTTCCAATAAGTAACCAGAGAAAAATAACCCAAGCACACAAAAATTTGGTTTACAGGGCTATAGGGCCACAAAATGTATGTCCGGCATACTCCAGTTCTTTGTCCTGTTCACCACCAGAGTGCCAGGAGACCACAGCAGAGGGAGCAGACAGGGATGAGCCAGTCCAGTATGGGCTGCAGTTCTGTACCATAGCATCATGCTGAGGTGGTTGTACAATGCAAACAGGTGCTGGGAGAATAGTGCTAGCTGCCTTTGCTTCTCCATGTATTCTCTTTGAAATTTTCTATGGACCTCTTGATCCGGCAGCGTCACTTCACTATCATGCCATATACATTCCATCATTGGTTTTCTGTCCTCTTGCCTAAATTGGTTTTGTCTTTCCAAAAAATGACCAGCTTTTTCCTCCTTGAATCTAAACATTGTATCAGAGTCCCTTTACATGACCCTCTGTGAGTCATTTCAATTTCCTTCCGGTGAGATGGTCAAGTGTTCAATCATTTGTGATTCCTGATGCCTTTGCTGTCCCATTCAGTGATGTGCCAGCATTTCCACACTGGGCCTTGGTGCAGTCGGGCCCTCTGAAATCAGAAAGAAGAAGAATGTTAATAGGCTAATTAATGACATTCCAGAGTTGTCTGTACCAAGGAATGCAATAAAGTAACTGCTTCTGGTTCCTTTCTCACTCCAATGCTTTCTTACAGCAAGATGCTCTGTTCTTACTATTTAAGCTGGTAAGGATATAAACTAACATTCTCTCCCTAATTTAAAACCAATTCTTAGCCAGCGGGAATGAAAACAATGTGTGCAGGGGTGGGGCTTGGTGTCTGTAGTTCAATGGGACTAAAAAATTGCTTAATCCAGGCAAACAGGAAATAGAGAGGATCTTTGTGCTGAGGATTCCAGAATGGGAAAGGATGGGTCGGTTTGAACAAGTTAGGAGCAAAGTTGATAATCCTACACTTGAGTTGTTCTCATGGCTGAATATAGGACATGTTCTGGGACTGAAGAGGTGTAGTGAACTTCTGTAGGTGTATAGGGAAATTAGCATTACCCCTAATTTGATTGCTCAGATTGAGCACTGATTTTTACAAAAGACTTCCAGCGATTACTCACGGAGGACTGTGGAAAAACATGGCTAAAATACATTATCTCTTCTAGATTTCTGCCCTGCATTGTTGGCTGACCACAGTGAAGTTTGACACAGTCATTATTCCACACCCTCACTGATAGTTGGTATAGAGCAGCTTGTTATCGAGTAATGCTTTTGCCTGTGTCTCATATGTTAAATAGAAAGGCAGAATGAACTATAATTACAGCTTGATAAGAGTGGATAGCTAAACAGATGCCTTTGTCTGATACATGGGCTGACTGAGAGAACATCATGTACATGGTGGGATCATGCTGTCCAATACTCTTCTGCTTTTACATTTAGTATATTTCAGGGTTTGTTTGACTCTTGGAACAGGTTCTCCTTGCTTGACCTCCATTTTGAGCCTGGCCCTGTGACATGTCTCAGCCAGCTGCAGTTCACTGCATGCCTGAAACGTCTGCCCTTACTTGGGACACCGGGCCCTCTAGCCAAATGTGGAGAACTATGGTGGGGCTTGTCCATCCTGACAGAATCTGGGGGAGCTGAACCGGGGAGGGAGGGTAAAGAAAGCTGTCACTTATGATGTAATGGCAGAGCTAGGGAGAATGGGGTCTTCTAGCACCATGTGATCTTGTAAGCACCCACAGTAAGAGTAAGGTGTTTGAAAGAACCCAAGAACATGTTTCCACAGCCCCTAAGCATGCAAAACCAATCCTGATTGCTGAAAATAATAAAATCCAATGTACCTTGCGTGCTCCTTTGTCTCCTACGTCCACCCCCAACCTGTTTGGCTGCTGTAGCCAGATCTTGAGCTTCTCCAAAGAGGTCTTGGAATCCTTGTACGGTCTCAGGCACCTCCTGGTCCTGGCCCACATCCCTTGTCATGGACTGGGCTATGATGAATATTTTTCCTTTCTCTTCTCCTGATGGCCCAGGTGCTAGGTGTCACAGTGCCATCCAAAGTACCTCAGGCTCTGTAGATGGATGAGTGCCAAAAATACTGTCCAGTTCATTGGGAAAAGGGTAGGTTTTCCTCCTTACCCAGACTGGCTGCAGTTATCTCAGGCCCTTTTACTTTTCTCCTGATATTGTCTTTCCCCCAAGTGGGTGATTCCCTGCCACACACTCTATTTGCATCACTCAGTCATAATCCAAAGTTTTCCTAATTAGAGTTCAACTGCAATTGAATCTCTCAAGCACCTGGGTATCTGCCTCTGGCCAGCTGGCAGCATTCCTGCACAATAGCTTTTTCCTTCTGAAATATGTTCCAAAATTGGCTTGCTGAAACACACAATGACCGCAAAGCTATGGGTGCTGGCAAAAAACAGCACACAATGAGATTGAAGGTATGCAGTACTATATATATATATATATATAGGCAAGGGACTTCCAGAAAACTTGATCCTGAACCAACAAGGTAGAAGAACTAGGCCAAACAGACCCCCTATGTAGTGGCTAGTGCTCTGTGGGACAGTGATGGGAGGACAATTTGCACCATAGAGATTATTGCACCAGCACTTTGTATCTACAGTGGCACTGTACCAATGGTGCCTCACAGTGATGTGGGCAACACAGTAGCTAGCCTTGCTTGGAGCAAGTACCACCCACAGTGTGGTATGTTCCTGTGCCCCGTAGATAGTAATTTTGTGGGCAGACACATGACAGGTGTGCTGGGAGATTTAAATGGCAGTTAGCTTGCCAAATTGCTCAAGTATGGGTAAGATACAATGCCACCACATTCACATAACCACCAAACTTAATCTCAGTATTGCTATGATTCCTTCAATACATCTTTGACTGCACCAATTAACATCTGTTGCCCCTATGTTCAGAAGACAAAAAAAAAAAAAGTTTTACATTATTATCTATGAATTCCCTAGTTTAATAATTATTCATCATGTAAAGTGTACTAGATTATTCAGCAGGACAACCTGAGACTCTATCTGTCTTAGGTATTTATAGGGTGCCAGTCACTATAATTAGCATCAGTTCTCAAGACATAAAAAAAAGATCCGGAATGCACCTTTTGCTGCATAGGCACCGACCACACATACTGCAAGGTGAAGAATGAAAGCAATAACCACTATCGTTGGTTTACTTTACAATTATCAGCAGTACTGGAACGCCATTCTGGCTCCCCCAAAAAAGTGCCGGCAAGGCATTCCAGAGCTTTTTAGCACAAGAGTGCTTGGCTGGCGTCTAAACACAGGATTAAGACAACAGTAAGATTATTTGAAATGGGCTCTGTTCTTGCTATCCTAGGATTTGGCCATTTAAACTTAACTTGGTTTTCCCCAACCCTTTCCTCTCTTTCAGGTTTGGCAGCTCTGTCAGTTTATGAATGTGAGGATGGTGCCGTATTGCAGTTCAGTCAACTGAAGGTGAATGTACTCACCCATAGTGATCCTAATGGATGCACACACAAACGGACAAAATCAGGTTAGGAAGAAATATACCAAGTGTTCTCCAGTACCAAGACACAACAAGGTGCAATAACTCATTAGAGTCAGCTCTTCCAATGTGTCCTCTGCTGGCACCAGGAGTTACATTCTTGGTGTGAAAGGATAAAGTAAAGCAGTTGAGATAAGGCCACTTTGTTGCTCTCTGATTCCCTTCTAAATGTGCTTTTCCTTGCTTTGATTGGGTAGTGTGACCACTAACACTTTTTGGTAGTTTTCCAAATGTGAAATTTAATAAATACTTAATTCTCTTAAAAAACAACAAAAAACAGAAATACAAGAAAGCATCAGAAAAAACATATGGAAAATAGGAGAATGATTTTTGCCTAACTTGTTCAACCTTCTAGCCTTTCAAGCAATGTAATTAAATTTTATCAAATATTGCAAACAAATAATTTTCTCCTGGATAGAGAATCTGTCCATTCAGTCTGGTAACAATACGAGTTTTCACATTTTTATAAATCCCTGAGAATAATGGTTTCACACATTTTTATCAAGATCCCCTTTGAGCACTGCTATCTGATCTTCAGCCATATTATAAATGCATTACCTGTGTAACCTGTACTGAATAAGAAGCTTAAAATGTTAGATTTCGGATTTTCCATTTGAAACTCAAAAGCACCAAGAAAATGCTCCAAACTTTCCCCATTAAAATACACATCTGTACTGTCTGACAAACTAGGGATAGTTCAGAAAATAAATGGGAAAGTAATGTAGTCAGGAGCAGTCTAAACTGATAAGGAGCCTGGATTCACAATGCAGTTTGTGTTGCAGCATCAATCAGTTGTGTCTCTGTTGTGACAGAAATGCTGCTCCCTGCCTTCCCTCCGGACAGTAGAACTCAGATCTGTGGCTCCATGTCTCCACCCTTAACCTATCAGTGAATATCATCAAGGGCAAAATGTCAAAGGAGGAGTTTAAGGGCATAGCTGCTGTTATATTGTTACAAAACTCTAGCACTGTTGGACTGGTTCTGACTCGCATATTGACATGGGTTGCTTTAAGGCCCTATTGAGGAGGCAGAGAATGTATATACCTCATGCACTTTATAGCACTCTCAAGGGGATCTATATCTTCCAAGCACTTATAATACAGGGAAATCCTTGTTCATTATGAATATTTGATATACACAAGGATCTACAGCCAAATCTTAGGAGCAAGTGCATCTGCTGTATGGAGCACTCAGGGCCTCTGGTCTGCCTGGGTTCCCTAACTGAGTAGGCTTCTACTAATCCTGTAACAGCCGACAGAATTGGCCTCCTGGTACCTATGTTGCTGCCCATTTCCTCTCTTGCCATATGGGGGGAGACCATCATCACCAATTGCCATTTGTCCAATTACTGGCTTTCTTTCACCCTTCTTGCTTACATCCTCCTTTAGCCTTCCATATTTTTTTATTAAAAGCTTTAAGCCTATAAACCCTAGCTCTACCCTCATTCAAAATATAAATTGGCAACAAAGAGACTATTTCCAAGCTAATGCGCTGTACTTCTCTAAATCAACCATCCACCCACTTCTACCTGGCCTCTCCACTGCACCAGTGACTTCAGACTCAACTGCCCGTCTATCTGCAACTGCATCGCCTATGGTTCTGTACCTTCTATGCTATTCCCTATGCATGGAATAGCCTTATAGAGTTCATTTGGAAAACCCAGATCCTTGCCACATTCAAGTGTCTCCTGAAGACCCACCTCTATCATGATGCTTATGGGAAAATTGCCACTGATAATATCAACTCTGAGAAGTAGTTGGATATAATTGTACATATCCTATTTTCATTATATTTGTATACACATTCTAAAGATAATTGTATATGTATTGCATCCTTCCCCTATCTTCAAGACAAAGAGAGAGACAGTCTTTAAATTGTGAGGTCCTTGGGGAATATGGCCAGGCCCTCTTTTCTATTTGGAAAGTTCCAAGCACTTCATAGTTGCTACCAGAAATAATTCATAATAGTAATCTTGCTCTTAATAATGTTTCAGTCTAATATTTAATTTTAGTGATGTCTTGGGTTTTAATTTTCAAGCTAGTTTTGAGCAGGAGTCATGAGGGCAGGCCATAGGCAACCAATTATCAGATGGTTACTTTTGGTCTCTGCAAGAGGGGCTGGTTTTGAACTAGCAGTTAAGAAGATGAAAAATCTCTGATCATGCAGTTCCCCTTTTCTTGTAACTTAGTTTGGTATTTCATCCCCCATCTTCTATCAGCTTGGACAAGATGTACCTGTGTGTTTTTAGTTTCACACCAATACAACATACACGAGTGGTCACTAAACTTTTTGAACTTGCTTAGTTGGTATGCATGGGTGAAATGGGATATTAGTAAAAGACAGACCATAGGTACAATGAGTAAACATTCTGAAACCATTTTTCAAGATAGAATAAGATAAACATGAAAAACGTAAGGTGGCAGTAACTATTGATGGGCATCTACTTTAACTAAGAGTGCTAAAGGCTGCAAAGCCAGTGAGAAATCAAATCTCTGCCCTGGAAAACAAGTTCTCATTGAGAAATACCAGGTTGATTTCAAAGGTTCATGAAACCATGGAGATGAAGGGGGTTTTTTTTGGTTGGTTATTTGGGGGGGAATGAAGGAAGGAAGGAATCACTGAAGATGGATAGTTAACTCTACAATGTGTAGTCATATATGTCCCTGGCCAATCCAATCAAGAAATACCTCATTGTGGCTACAGAATGTATCACTCTTGGAATGACTTTAAATCTGGCATGTGTATTTTACACTCACGTGCTGAGTTCAAGAATTCTATTTGCCCAGGGTACTGTCTTGATTTCCCTTAGTGACTTATCTGTTTTATCCCTCTTCCAAAGATGGGACTGGAGTAATCCTTGATTTATAGGTACAGATTTTGGGTAAACTGTGGAGGCTACACCAGCTTTTTCTGTTCTCCCATTCATGAAGTAATTCTCCCGATGAGTATCATTTACTAGTCCATCAGCTAAAGTTAACTCTGTTCACACTGGAAAGCGCTGAGAGTTTATTACTAAAGAATATAGCTGAATATTTGTGGTGTTATTTAATCACTGAAAACTGCAGTACACTGTTATTAACGAACAGGAGGACTTGTGGCACCTTAGAGACTAACAAATTTATTAGAGCATAAGCTTTCGTGGACTACAGCCCACTTCT